TCAAGCAGGCAACAGGGGTCTGATCAGCCTCTAGCCTCTCCCCGTCACCAAGCACAATCCTTGACGTATCCCTCTCTCTGCACGCACAAGTTCCACGGAGCCTAGCAAACTTCGTGTGAGTTCGAGTACTTTCTTCGGTTGGCGCGACAGGCTCGCGGTTTAGAGCCTCCAACCGGATGGGCTAGAAGAGTGTTCACGGGAAGGAACTCTAGTCCGCCTCTCTTCTTTTCTATCTGTAACTGCAACTCAAGCAAGTTTTCCTGCCTGCACCACGACCATCTTCGGTGTAAGTAAATAATCTTAAATCAACCATTACGCGTCCGTGACTAATTCTAGCGTGTCGCCTGTTTTCTCCGACCCAGCGTGCCCGGGCTGCTGGCCACAGCCCTCGCAGCGCGAAAAAGGGCCCGGATCGCTCCCGGCCTGCACAAGAAGCAGGTGATTAGACCATGCCAAACAAATTTAGCATAGTCTGTTTGGAAAAGATAAGTATACTATGTCAGGGAGACTGAACAAATGTATCAATTTCTAAAAGATAAAAACCTGATAAGTGATGTGTATAAGTATAAGGCTGACCTGGACAGGCTCAGCAAGTGGGCGGACGAGAATCTGATGGTGTTCAACGCCGAGAAATGCAAGGTTCTCCACCTTGGGAAGAAAAACCCGCAGCATCCTTATAGGCTCAGCAGTGCTATGCTGGCTAGCACTATGGAAGAAAGAGACCTGGGGGTCATCATTGACCACAAGATGAACATGAGCCTGCAATGCGATGCGGCGGCTAGTAAAGCGACCAAAATGCTGGCTTGCATCCATAGATGCTTCTCAAGCAAATCCCGGGACATCATTCTCCCCTTGTACTCGGGTTTGTTCACCAGAGCGCCCCAAGGGATGACGGCTAGGTCGAATGGTCATAAACTACTACAAGACCGTTTCAGGCTGGACATAAGGAAGAATTTCTTTACTGTCCGAGCCCCCAAGGTCTGGAACAGCCTGCCACCGGAGGTGGTTCAAGCGCCTACATTGAACACCTTCAAGAGCAAACCGGATGCTTATCTTGCTCGGATCCTATGACCCCAGCTGACTTCCTGCCCTTTGGGCAGGGGGCTGGACTCGATGATCTTCCGAGTTCCCTTCCAGCCCTAATGTCTATGAAATTTATGAAATCTATGAAATATGTTGGAAAGAAGTAAACTGTAATTGGGTTTGTTTTGGTTAATGAAACACATAAGTACTTCTTGGAAGAAAAATCTAGAATAAAGGTTGAAATCTGGAGAAATTTAGAATGAGGAAAGGGAAAAATCAAGGTTTGAGTGATATTTGAGGGAAGTAAGAAGATATTTGTGGGAAAGTAATCTATAAATACAGTATATACATATTATACAAGTATACATAGATTCATAGATGCTAGGGTTGGAAGGGACCTCAACAGATCATCGAGTCCGTTCCCCTGCC